TACATATAGGCACTTAAATTACAACGTAATTGGTGCTGCATGTCATTATTAATTGACTAACATGGAAAATTTTAACTTTTATCCCCATTTCATAGCACGCACAAAAATTAGGTCCAGGCATATTGTATATCTAAATGTAAAAGGTAAGCTTCTCAAAGATAAGTGGTTTTCTAAGTGTGACCCTCAGACCACCAGAATCTGCATCATCTGAAAGTTGTAAAAAAATGCAAATTCTTAGGCCTCTTTTCTGACCTAAAGACCTAGATATTGTGGAGGTATGTAAAAAAACATTTATTTAAAAAAACAAAACACAAAACACCTCACAGATGCTGCTGATGCCCACTCAAGTTTGAGTACCACAGTTCAAGGAGAATATCTTGTGACCTTGGAGAAGGAGTAAATAATTTAGAGGAGCAAATAACAATCATTATAAAGAATAATATACCGCTGTACCGATTTTTCGGTAATTTCCACACAAAGGTGGAATATTGGCGCTAGATGAAAGGTAGATGAAAGGTAGACCTATTTTCTACAATGTCTCCAAGTTCCATCTTATTCTAACCACTTGTTTGCATGTAACTAACATTTTTCTATATCATGTTGGTTTTTTCTCTTTAATGCTCAGGAGCCCAGGTATAGGGGACAGTTAGGTTCAGGGCCTCAGGTCTGGTATCAGGAGCCCAGGTATAGGGGACAGTTAGGTTCAGGGCCTCCGGTCTGGTAGACTTAATCAATTGTATCCCATTAAAAATTCTTTCCATCACAATACAAGTTTAAGAGAGTAAAATGTAAACCAGAGTCTGGTAGAAAATATTCACAATACATACATTCAGCAAAGGACTAGTTTACAGACATTATAAAGAACTTCAAATCAATAAGAAAAAGACCGACATCCTCCCTCGCTACACACACACACACACACACACACACACACAAATAGCTAAAAATTTAAAATGGTACTTCACAAAAGTGTGTATCTAAATGGCTAATAGGTATATGTTATGTACCATTAGTCAACAGGGAAATATAAACCCTAAACAACAATTAGATAACCAAAAATATCCACACAAGAATGGCTAAAATTAAAGGGGTTCACAATCTATACTAATAAAAGGGTAATATGCTAATTAGACCAGATGTCTTCTGGTCGTACTTCCGGATGTCCTTCCAGACAAAGCCATAGCAGCTGCAAGGGCCTAGGACCAGCATCCATGGCAGTTGTGAGGGCTGAGGGCCGGTCCAGCACTGCGGTCCCTTTTGCAGAGGTCGTGGGAGAAGGTACAAGGGGGAAGGCCAGCGCTGCTCCCAAGAAGGGAGAAGGGAGAAGGCTGGCACCGCAGGAGAGGGCAGAAGGGAGGAGGCCAGTGACACGGAAGAAGGAAGAAGGGAGAAGGTGGCAGTTAGGGGGATCAGGCCAGGAGGGGAGAGCAGTTAGGCAGTTAGGGGGATCAGGCTGGCAGGGGAGAGCAGGTAGGGGGATCAGGCAGGCAAGCAGGTGAGCGGTTAGTAGCCAGTGGTTCCAGATTGCAAGAGGGATCTGGATTGTAGAGGGTATAGCCAGGCTGAGGGACCCTCCCCCCATGCACAAATTTCAGGCACCAGGCCTCTAGTCTATAATAATAAAAGTGTAATATGTTAATTAGACCGGACATCCTTCCAGACGAAGCCAGAGCTGTGAGGGAAACCCGAATCCCGAGTGCCAGAGGGAAGACGGTGCTGGCAGCCGGGGGAAAGAAGGCCTACTCTTGCATGAATTTCGTGCATTGGGCCTCTAGTATCAAATATGAGTGAGTTTTTGGAGAAGATGAAAGGTAGACTGGTAGAAGCACTGTGAAAACCTGTTCACCAGTATCTATTAAATGTAAAAATACATACCTCCTGTGACCCAGCAATTCCATTTCTGTGCATATTCTTATGAGAAATGTTTTGTTATCAGTATACACGCACAAAAATTGAAAGGGTGAGGGCTATGCCCTCCATCTTACCCTGTATCCTACAAGACCCGGCTTGCGCCTGGCCAATTGGCAGGGCCCACAGCCCCCTCACTCCACCCCCTATTAAAACCCTGGTTTTTCTCACGGTGACCTCTCTCTCCCCCCTTCTGGCCGTTGGGTCAGAGGGGGCTGGGAGCCAGACCCGGGTCTGTACTACTAATAATAAAGGATCCTTTGCTTTTACATCGAACATGGCTGGCTCCCTGTTGGTCTGTGGGGATCTTGAAATCTGGGCATAACAATTGGGGGCTCGCCGGGATCCCCAACACCATCCAGGGACCCCCAGTTCGGAGGACCTGACTGACCGCGGTAGGTGTCTGTGTCGTTGTGTGTTTGTATCTGTTTGTTTCTGTCCTGTGTGAGCTCACTTCTGAAATCTGTATTCGCC